AATGTATCTTTTGTATATTTTGAGACCAAATGTGTAAAGTTGTATTTCATGATATATGAAATATATGTTTATATGCAAATGTGAATCGATGTGTTATATTAGACCTAGAGATGAAAACCACAATGAATTGCAAAAAAGAACGAAAACCGTGATTTTAAAATCACAAAGATGAAAGTTGCAATTTCTAACAAATTATAGTAACGAAATTGGCAGCTTACTCTTTATATATATATATATATATATATATATATATATATATATATAATAGTTATGGTGGTTGTGTATGTGGCAAAAAGGTTTATAAGTGTATCTTCAAGCTAGTTCATACGAGTTTGTACTAAAAATATTATGTAAGAGACAAATCAAATATATAACAGTTCGCTAGGTGACAGACAATAACTCAGTATCCATAAGGAACCCATTTCATTCGTTTGTTTGTACAACTATACCACACCAAAACCAAATCGTTATAATGCACCAAAGGATAATTATTATTCTTGTAAAAACATTCTGGAAAAACCAATGATTATAGCGTATAATGCACCAAATGTAAGAAACACTATGGTATTTGACCATTTTCTAATCTAAAACTGTAAATTTATCGTAGCGTATAAATTACATTTTACATTTTTTCTTTGCTCTCGAGAAAAAGGCAAAATAAAATAAAAATTGGGTTTGAAAATTTATTTCCTTTTTTATGTTATTGACGTGTGTGCAGTGGCGGATCTAGAAATTTTTATGATTGGAGGCACACTCAAGGGTGTAAAAAGAATTCCAAAACCGAACAACGCATCCTAACTAAGACGGTTTCAGGTTATTCGTTGTTTGGCTTAAACAATTCGGTTAATCGAATAAAGACAACTTATTTTGTTTGGTTTCAGTTATACTACTTTTAATATTTTAATTACTACTTCAATTAAAGTGAAAGTAAGTAAAGGCAATAAATTAATACAAAATTCGATTTTCATAATGGACTGGATAACTAGATGAAGAAACCACTAAACCGATTTGTAAGAAAACAAATGTTGTTACGTGACATTAAACCAAATTGTAAGAAACATAGTACAAGACAAATCAAAATCCTTAATAGTTAATAAACATATAGGTTATAGAGCGAAAGGACAAGAAACTAGATTCAGTTAAAAAGAAATCAGATAACAGAAGACCTATAAATTAGAAATAAAAGACAAACCAATAGCATACTTTGAATACCAATAACAAACCCAAATTAAATAACAAACTTAATGACTCCAAAACATATAACAAATTAAGGAATTGAAAACTAATAATTAACAAATAATAATAAATGTACATCTATAAAATAAATAAATGCAAAATGAAGGATGAAAAGTTAAAAAAAAAATAGTTTATCAAATCAATACCAAAATTAGTGGATATTTGCCCAAAAAAAAAATACAAAATGAACTTCAAACAATATAAACAATAAATATTTAATATTTCAAGAGGTTTAATGCTTTTTTTTTTGTACCAATAGAGAACTGTGAGTGAAGATGAAAGAGTGAGAGTGTGAGTGTGAGTGTGAGTGTGAGTGTGAGTAAAGTCTGGAAGATGAGTGAGTGGAGGATGATATGGAGGGTTGAGAGAGTGAGTGGAGTCATTAAGGAGATTAGTTTTTACTAATTGGGGCCTAAACAATACATATTGAAATGTTTCAAGGGTTCCAAAATTTTTTAACCTGCAGATAAAGATTTTGTTGGGGGCAAGTGCCCCCATCACCAATGCTTTAGATCCGCCACTGCGTGTGTGCATATATATGGTTTAAATAAAACAGTAGCAAAAACGGTCAAATCATTTGTAAAATCAATGTGATTTTACACTAACAGTCAATGTAAAAGTGTGCAGACAATGTGATCCCCAACCTTAGGTCGTCCCGCGGTCAAAGTCACGTGAATCTGATGATTTTACACGTGATTTCAATGTAACATGTGAATCGATCACATTCTTATTATTTTATAGTTATTGTTCTTGTATAAAGCTCATTCTCTCTCTCTCTCTCTCTCTCTCTCTCTATATATATATATATAATTTGAGAACTCATAAAACTGTGATAATATTGAGAACCGGTGCATTATGTGTTATTTCACACGATAATTTCCCCCCTCATCTATGGCTTGGATTTTGTGTATTGATTAACATGTATTTGTTTCTCAATATGTTTATTTCGCATATAATTGTTTCACAATGTGAGAATTTTTTGTGTTTATGAAATAAAAAACACAACTAAAAGATTTCACATCAACCGAATACATATAAAACAAACATATTGTAAAAGAAACATATGTTAATACATATTGTAAATTCTAACCTTGAATTAAAAAAATTATGTGAAACAATACCTTATAATAATAATTATCACAGTATATAAGATTATCAAATGATTAAGTCGTTATATATATATATATATGTATGTATGTAGGTGTGATTACATATGAAAGAATTAAGATTATTGTGATGATTTGGAAGAAGAAAAAAAGGACGGAAGCATTATTGAAATGAATGTGAAAGAATGAAAACATAAAAAAAGATTGTTTAAGATGTGGAAAGGACAAAGGTGTTATTAGTATGTACAATCCATCATTTAAAGGGGTTGTGGGGGTTAAACCACAACCTAGTGTGACATGCTACACACCCATGAAAACGACCTGTCTCTTGGATTACTAATTACGAGAGAGAGAGAGAGAGAGAGAGATGAAAAGAAGGGAAGAGGTGATATATACATACATAGTACATACATATATATATATATATATATATATATATATAGAAAGGTGATCAAATGCAAACCACTTAATTTGTACAAACCACCCTCATGGTCTCATCCGTCGATTTCATTGTTTAATCTTATGAATTTTTTTCAAGAAATTGTTTAATCTTGTGAAATTGTTTCATATAATACTTTTTTGATGAAATTGTTTCATATATGGTTATGAAATTGTTTCATATAATAATCAATGAAAATTTAATGAAACTATTTCATGTATTTTTCTAAAATTAAAATAATGAAGATGATAATATCCATGATTAATACTCTTCATAATAAAAATTATTAATCAATCTCTCATAACTACAAAAAAATGAACAAAATGAAAAATTATGATTGGTTGAATGAGGTTTGCACGGTTTATACAAATTTAGTGGTTTTTACTTGAACGCTCCTATATATATATATATATATGTATGTATGTATGTATGTATGTATAGGGTTGAGTTCATGTGAGATCAACTTATTTTCGTGAAACCATTTTTTACACTTGAAACTTCACAGTAAAAAGCTATGAATGTAACAAAAAGTCGAAGTTTCACAGCAAAAACACTGTAAAGATTATTTTCACAACATTTTGCTGTGAAGTTTCAAGTGTAAAAAAATGGTCTCACAAAAATATGCTTGTCTCATGTGATCCCAAGTCTCTCTCTCTCTCTCTCTCTCTCTCTATATATATATATATAGAGAGAGAGAGAGAGATAGAGAGAGAACTTGTTTTGTTTACCGTCTAATTAGTATAAATTTTGTTAATCTGAGTATTTTTGTCGTTTTCATATATTGATATCACCCTTTAATTATCACATTCCTTACTTATTTTATTTAGTTTGTTTAAACTTTCTCAGTTATATTATTCACTTTCTGTTTTCACCTATGAATTTTCGTAAAAATAGAAATTGGAATAAACAATGTGTGTACAAGAAACAACGTTAAGAACTTTAAGCAAAAAATATTGTTTCACCTAAGAACTTAAGCAAAAATCATTTTTCATCTATGAACAAAAATCATTGTTTCGCCTATGAACAAAAATTATTGTTTCACCTATGAACTTTTTGATTTCACATGTGAACTTCGGCAAAAGTCTCGGAACAATCGAAGTTCATAGATGAAACAACATTACGAATTTTGAACATATATCATATAAAACATTATTATCTTCAGAAAAATAAAAACATTTTGTTCCACAAATTACCCTCCATTTAATTCAATTTAATTTATTTCATTTTTCATCATTTTATAACCACTCATTTAATCATAACCGTTAATCAAGAAAATGAAATGCTCAGATGAGTTTGTAAAGTTAATACTATTACTTGGTTAACAAATATTACACACACGCATGCATGCACATGCGCATGTTTAATTATTTAAGAAGTCTAAAATTTGTGAGTTGTGTGAGATCTATCCTAACCCACTAAATTAAGATAAATAATGCTATTTAATAATTAAAATTAATTCATTTTTTAGGAAATTCAAATTTCATACATATCTCTCTCTCATCTCTTCGTAACATACATGCACAATTAAATGTGTACAGTGTACACATTGTGTTCAACCTTAAGAGATTTCTTTGGGGTGTTCATAAGTGGTAGATTTTGATTTAATTTTGTTGTTTTAGTGGTGTTCAAAATATGTTCACATAGAGGACGCATTGATTGTCTAAGCGTCCTAAGGTAATGTTTGATATGCAGATATGATCAGACTGAATTGGACAGTGTAGAACTGGACAATACTGGATAAGACAAAGAGGTTAATATTGGACATGATAAGTTTGGATAGAATAAGTGTATCTCTAGTGTTTGGTACTACTGGTACTAGATAAAACATAACTAGACAACTTGATTTCAAAAGTTATTTGACGATTTTATATATCATATAATAGTTATAATTAACACAGATAATGTAAATAATCAAATAGTTTAATTTATAAACATTTTTACATAATTTCCACATATATATATAAATACATAAATGTATAATAGTACTAAATTTGAATGAAAACATTGATATTGTTGATGGTAGTTAGAAAAAAAACTTGATTCCTACAAAAGAGAAATTATGTTTTATTCAGTTTGGAATATACTTATCAATTGGTGAAAACACGGTGAAGATTGTTGCAACAACAATGGTTGTAGAGGTAGAGACATCGGTGATTGGTGGCAGTCGACAATAGTGGAGGTAGTTGTGGCCGACGTGATGGAGGTAATGGGTGGTGGTTATGGTGGAGGCAGTGGAGGTGGTTGTGCTTGACGGTTCTAGTGTTGGTGGCAATGGATGGTGGGAGATGGTAGTTGTAGAGAATGTGAAGATGGTGGATAGTAGTGGTGGTGGTTGTCGACAATGGTGGGGAGGTAGTTATGACCGATATGGTGGAGGTAGTGGTGGTGGTTATGGTGGAGATGGAGGTGGTGAGGGCCGATGGTGGTCAGTGGTCGACGATTATTGTGGAAGTGGTGGAGGAGGTTGTTGTAGTAGAAGAGGGTGTGGAGGTGGCCGAGGGTGGCACTACCTGGTGCGGCAACCGCAACTTCCAATGGTAACCACTAAAACATATATCATATTAAGGTTATATATCAAACAAGGGTTAATTAGTAATATTTTAGTGTCTATCTCATTTTTGTCCCATGTCATGCTAAACACAGGACAGTGATTTTTGTCTCATCCTGTTCTATGAGCAAACACAACCTAACATAATACTTTTTAGAACTTCAGTTTATATATATTATATGCATATATATATATATATACATAGAGAGAGAGAGAGAGATGGGGGAAATGGATGGTGTTGCTTTTTTTTATGTCATTGTGTTTATTAATGTATTACAAGAAAATAGTAATTATGATATATACACCTAAGATTTCATGTTGTTGTCTTAAAGTTAGACTATAAAATAATGCAATTGAAGGATGGCCGAAAGTAGCAGCATAACTCTTAACACAATTGGAGATGTGTTGTCTACATCCATCTATGGGAACATATTATTTACCTTATTTTTCCAAATATACAAAACTCCTATCACCATAATTAAATAATCCTAAAAGTTTTTTAAAAATAAAAAACCTAACCACCTTTTTTTATCGTCAATGATTAACGGACCGTTTACTAAACACTTACTTGGTAAATGCTTAACGCATAAATTTCCTCATCGGATGAACATGAGAAGGGTTAAGAATCTTTCTGGGTAAGAGCGACGAGAAGGATGGAGAGTCTTATCCGGTAAGTGAGAATGACGACTCTTACCCAATTAAGCGCTTACCCAGTAAATTGTTGCATTCGATATGTTTTGATGTACTAAAATATTACGCATCAAAATAAATTATAATATTGACTCTTATCGGTAAGCGCTTACCGGGTAAGCATTTAGGTAAACGACGCCTAAGTTCATAAATTATATTTTTGAATGAAGAAATTATTAAACTTTTTTTTATTTTAAATGTGTTAATCTCTGAACATGTTTTTTTAATAAAGAAGCCATCAAAATTCTAGAAGTTTGTTACTTACATATTTGTAATATGAAAAAAGCTACTTACAACTTGGTTATGAAGGTTTTAGAATAAAAAACCTAGATGGGTTTTACGGTTTCCAAACGGTGTGTCCTTCAAACTCTTGTCACTTCATCATCGTCCACTCTCTATCACCGCCCATCAATGTTGTTGGCCCCTGCCATCAATTTTCGTCTTTTTGATCATTTTTTTTTATTGTTTCTCAATCTCCATTTTTATATATTTTTAAGTGCTCCATCAAATTGTTGTAAAAGTGGGAAAATTGAAAGATAAAAAAGAGGGAGATTGATAGCAGGGGCCAATAACAACGATGGGCAGTAACGAGAACCAACAACTATGGGCGACGATGGCGAGTGGTGATGTCGTTTGTGTGGGAGGAGTTTTATAACTTACAGTTTGAGAACGGTAAAACTAATTTAAGTTTTTTTTATTTAAAAACTTTTCTATCTAGTTAAATGTAGTTTTTTGTGTTAAAATATTGTAAGTAACCATTTTTTATATGTTTATTAGTTTATTTATTCAAAAAAATGTTCATGGATTAATCATTCAAAAGCAAAAAATGTACAATGGTTCTTTCATTAAAAACTAGACTTAATCATTCACAATAAGAAAGTTTGTTGGGTTTAATACAGGTGTGTCAAACTCGTTTCAGATCAAACCAACCATTATCGATATCAGTCGTACCAATTAAATCGGTATTAACAAACTTAATTTGGTCGATATTATTTTATCAAATATACAAAATTGGTTGATGCAAGGTACTAAAAATCTAATACCATGATACCATCATGCGGTACCGTTCCTTTAATTAAGAGTCAGTATATGTTTCATCTTTGTGGTAAGGTGGTTTAAACGATTTTTGTCCTTTTTTTTTGAAAATTCAACAGAAGGTGTTCTTGTAATTGTATTTTCAATGAGTTATATCCCTGTAGTTGCATTTTTTTATGAGATTTATGAGCTCCTTATAAACTCTAAGTTATGGGTTACCAATAATTTTCATTGTAATTTTAAGATAGATTATAATATATAAATACAAGATTTAAACAATCTTTAAATTGTAAAATTAAAAAAATTAAAAAAGGACAAATCCTTGAAAACAAGACGAAGAGTTTAATACGTGTAAGTCTATTTCTTGTTATACATGCGAATATATATGACAACTTCTTACATACCTTATTTGACAACTATGTATGTATGTATATGCTCCATTCCACATATAGAAGTCCTAGGATCATGATTCAAGTATTTATATGATCTCTTATGTATGCATGTATATATATATGTGTATATATATATATATATGTGTATATATATATATATATACATATATATATATATATATGTATATGAGGAAGGGTTCAAACGAGAATTTTTGTGATTTATGAGAATGCGAGAACAACCCAATAACTTCATATTGTGATAAAAAATAAAATTAAAAGATTTTTAAAATTAAAATTGAAATTTAAAAAGATTCAAAAAATATTAAAATTAAAAGGGTAATAATGGAAATGATATCATAAAATCTTTTAACACGATTACACGATCATGATTATCATTATCTAATAAACGGTTAATCATGTGATTATCATGTGATATGGGTGTGATAATCATGTGATTATCACACAATTATCACATTATCGCTTATATCAACACGATTTGGGTGTGATATGGGTGTGATAATCATGTGATTATCACACAATTATCACATTATCGTTTATATCAACACGATTTGGTGTGATTTGGGTGTGATATGATTGTGATAATCATGTGATTATTACACAATTATCACATTATCGCTTATATCAACACGATTTGATGTGATTTGGGTGTGATAATCATGTGATTATCACACAATTATCACAAGGATTCCGCTCGGCTAGRRTTAACTTAGAAAATCGACTACCGATTTGGTGTGATATGGGTGTGATAATTATGTGATGTCACTATCATAACAGCGCACTCGATTTGATTATGGTTTTGATCGGTTAGAGTTAGACAATTACACATTTATCACAACGATTACTCATGGTTTCGATAGGTTAGGATTAGACGATCACACATTTATCACAACGATTACGGGCGAAATCCACTAAACGATTTGGTGTGATAATCATGTGATATCAATACTATAACATCATTTGCGCACTCAATTTGATCATGGTTTCGATCAGTTACGGTTAGACAATCATACATTTATCATAACAATTACTCATAGTTTCGATAGGTTACGGTTACACTTGATTGATCATGGTTTCGACAGGTTATGGTTACAAAATCACACAATTATAACAAGGGGAGAGAAGAGAGTGAAAATGAACGTGCAAGAAAAAAAAGGATAATTATGACTAATTAAAATAAAATAAAAATTATAAAAATTACTTAATTACATTACTGCCTTTATTAATTTATTTATATATAATATAAGTTAATTTATTAATTAAAAAAGTTTGAGCTTATTAGATTGTTTTCACATTTTCGTAAATCACATGGGTTCTCGTTTGAACCTCCACCGATATATATATATATATATATATATATATATATATATTCCATTCCAAATATAGAAGTCCTAGGATCATGATTCAACTATTTATGTGATCTCTAATACTATAATAAGAATTTATAGGGCATGTATAGCTTCTAATTCAATTATCTATAACCTATCATGTTTATGCTATTTGGATAAGATCAATCAAGACACTATTGTGTGCATAATAATGCATATTAATAACTAATTGTAGCTTGAAACGTTTTACGAATACCTATTGGGTCGTTTATCAAGCATTTGATAAGTGTTTATCAGGTCTTTTATTTTACCAGATATATATGGTAAGCATCAAAAATCTTTTCGATAAAAGTAATGACAAAAATAGAAAGTTTTACTTGGTAAGTGAGAGTGTTGATCTTACTCGGTTAATGTTTGTCGGTTAAATTGTTGCATATTGCCACTGTAACTGACTAGAATTTTATCAGGTAAAGTAAGTGAGAGTTTTGATTCTCACCAGTAAACACTTAACGTGTAAGCAGTTTGGTTAACGACCCCTTATAGGTAACTCAACTAGTCAGATATCAAGTTTGCTCCTCATCTATACTGGTTCAAGTTACCTCGAAGTCACTAAAAGTTTTTCAGATATCAATGTATGAGTATTATGAGATTAGTTGAGATGTATGCAAACTGACTAAAACCACATAAAACCAAGAAAGGAACACCTCTATGCGTTGTAGTCTAACATGGCAATAAACGTATAAAATAAACACGATACTTTGTGTTGAAGTCTTTTATGTATCGATACTTTTTGTTGTATGTTATATCGCTTTATTTATTTAAAAATCAACCAAATTAAACATATATATATATATATATAATTGAAACCCTATAAATTGAAATTATAAATAATAGGAAAATAAAAATAAAAAATGTAGATAGAAATTTATTGAGAGTAAATCCAAATTTGCCAAGACTTGGTGTGGAGGACCACATGGGAAGTCGGAAATGTACACCAAAACAACCAACACACAAAGCTTTAAAGAAGCCAGACCACTAATGGTCCTACATCTATTCACACTCCAGCCACATAAATTCAATTTTACCAAATTTATTTATACAGTTATTTTATTTATTTAAATTGATATTTCAAACATTATTTTTTTAAATGTCACTACATTTGTAATACTGTAAATCCAGCTAAAAGACATTTTTTTATCAGAATCAACCGACAGTATCAGTTGTTAACCTGATAGAATTTGAATTTACTTTTAGGAAAAAAAAAAAAAGTAAAATGGGGAAGCAATTACGAGGGAGGCGGCGGAACAGTGTGTGGTAGTCACTAATTATCCTGTAACACTATTCTGGCAATTCATCTACACCCGTTGACTTGTCAAAATCCCTTTTTTAACGGAAATAAATTGAAACAAGATATATTTTTATATTAAATAATACGAATATTTTTACAAATATATGTATAGATGCTTTACAGGAACCAGTCCACCACTCCCCATATCATCAGGTACAGTCTCAGTTCTGGAAATTCTCCAACACCACCACACCGCCGCCGCCGTCGCCGTCGCATTTTTCGATGGAAAGAAACGATACCGAGACTCATGATTTCATGAACGTCGAGTCTTTCTCTCAACTTCCCTTCATCCGTCCTTCACCCCTCAAAGAAAAGAGCATTAGGCTCTTCGGAAAAGAGTTTAGTGGTGCCGCCGGTGCCGACTCGCCTGAAGTTATCATCTCCGACGACGCGGACTCGAATGAAACAGCCGCCGTGGAATCTAAAGACGCCGGAGAAAGTAACCGGAAATTCGAGTGCAATTACTGCTGCAGAAATTTTCCGACTTCTCAAGCCTTGGGAGGTCATCAAAACGCACATAAAAGAGAACGACAACATGCCAAAAGAGCTCACCTTCAGTCCACCATGGTTCACGGCAGCTTCTCGGAAGCACAAATGTATGGTCTGATGAACTACCACCGATTTGCACCCTCCACCACCCCACCACCACCCTATTTCCACCACACGAACACCGCTTCTAGCATCACCAACTACAATAACAGATTTTACGGTGGCACTTCCTCTTACACCTCCCATCAAACACCCATCAATGGCAGTCCACTGGCGATGTGGAAATTCCCGACGACCACGACGACGACGACTTTTAGCGACAATCCGAAATCGTCAATAATTGGAACTGGGAATCATTCTCAGATCCGATATACGTATGAACAAAAGCCAAATGTTCAAGAACAAGTTAGTTTGGATTTACATTTATAATATCATCAATTTCTGTTATTATGATTATGTGATCATCATGGTACATATCTTAATTAGGAACATGACAAATTAATTAATGGCAGGAAGCTACAAATAATTTCACAACAAAGAAAAAGAAATTTACACAAGATTTTATTTCTTGAATGACGATTCTTTTTATTAATTGTGGGTGAGATTTGTTTTTTCAAAGAGGGATTAAAGTCTGAAGTCTGATTTCGCTTCTGACTTATAAAAAGTGGTACTGAAATCTGAATCAGTAAAACCGTTTACTTTCAGGCGGACCACAAACCAAGACCTAAAACAAGAATTGTCTACTAACCCTTTCTATACATAAGCGATCACTATGCATAATAACAATGTTTACACTCAAATTCTTCAACAATGCCACCACCTTATTCAATAATATATACATATATATATGTATATATATATAAGATTATGAGATTTTTGACTCCAAATCCAATACATTATCAAAATCTTCAACACCAACAGTGGAAATCGAAGCTTGAAATTGAGAGTTCGGAGCGAAAGGTGAAAGGTCAGATCCCGAGAAAAGAATTATTGGAACCAAAGGAAGGAGATCGATTTGGAAAGACGAACCACATGAACGAGATCGATTTGGAGATCGACATGGAGAGACGAATCACAGGAACGAGATCGATTTGGGTCAAATTTTGTGGTATCTCATTTTGTTTCCAATAGTATAGCTGCGGTTAGAGTAAACTAAATTTGACATAAACTATAAAAGATGCGATTCTTAGAAGAAGTAATCCAATGGCTGCTGCCGCTAGTATTGTACACATTTCACTGCATAAAGTACAAGTGTCAGTTGCTTTGAATGGTTGTACGTTTATGCAATTGGCCAAAATATATTTTATTGAAGAGATTTAAAATATTTAATAAAAAACAAAAGACTGCTTTTTTGCAAATAAATAATCGAAACCTTGTATAACACTATTCTTAGTAAAACACAAGATCAATCATGAATCCTAAAATGTATGAAAAAGGTTGTCTTCAAGGATTTGATTGGAATATTACATTTATTTATAAATTATTTTTATAAAAAAATAATCAATTTATTTTACATCATATGTTATTTAATGATGTGTAATCTTTCAAAGTTCATATTTACAAGTAATTACTAATAGGGTTGTAAACGAACCAAACGTTCAGCGAACCATTCGTGAACCGTTCGSCGGGAAGTTCGTTTATTTAATAAATGAACGAATATGAACAATTTTTTTTTGTTCGTTTAGTTAAACGAACATGAACAAGAGTCTTGTTTGTTCATTTATGTTCGTGAACGTTCGTTCATTTACCGTTTGTTTACGTTCGTTTATATTCGTTCATTTATGTTCGTTTATATATTAAATTTAATATATAATCTTATATTTATTTACTTTGAATTCAAAAAATATTTATTTATGTTTGTTTAACCTGTTCGTTTAGCTCGTCTGTTTATGTTCGTTCGTTTACGTTCGTTTAGCATGTTAACGAACAAACATAAACGAACACGAACACACCTTATTTCTAAACGAACAAACACGAACACAAAGATTTTCGTTCGTTTACCGTTCGTGTTCGTTCGTTTGTTCGGTTAAGTTAAACGAATGAACATAAAGAAGCCTCCGTTCGTGTTCGTTCGGTTCATTTACAACTTTAATTACTAAATACACATAATTTTGGGGAAATCAATTAAAATAACCATTTTTATCGGTTGGTTTTATTTCTTAGCCATTTTTTACAAGATTTACTCATATAGACATAGGTCTGCAATTTTTTTTCCATGGACCTGGATGAAAAATGTAAAAGAAATTTGCGGATCTGGGTGAAAAATGTAATCTTTTTTGCGGATGGGGTAGAAAGTGTAGATTTTTTTTTAGCTGGGTCTGCAATTGTGGACATGAGTTTTGTGGACCTATGACTATTTTGGTAAAGTTGGAAAAAAAATAGCTAGGAGGTGAAATCAATCCTGAAAAATGGCTATTTTAATAAATTTTCTACGACTTTTTTAAATTTTATAAAACTAACTAACAACCAATTGTTATACAATATTTTAAGTACATGATAAATATTTGATCGTATTAAGATTACATGACACTCAATTGTTATCTTTATCATACAAAATAAATCCTCTATCATTATCATGGGTTGGGTTATGTGATAACCGGTTAATTGATTATTAAAGCTTGGGGTTGTTTATAAAAGTTGATGATAAGTTGAAGGACTTATTTGGTATATATGATTAAATGTTTTAAAAAACCAACCGCCTCAGATAAAAGTTAGTGGGTATTTTCCTGGAGCTTGTTTAAGCAGAATCGAAAGGAGAGAAAGAAGAATTTAAGTTTGTGTTTATCAATCTGAATACGTGTTGTTGTTTATCTTCATCTTTGTGTGACTATAAGGTGATTTTAATTTTACCAGCTTTCTTTATTTAGAAACTGGAGATAGAACCGTATTGTTCTTTATGTGAGTTGTTGATATAAAACGGTTTTGAAGGCTATAATTAGCATAAATATGAGTTTGTGGTTATGTTATATCATGTGTTGAAATAAGGATAACATATCAAGGAGAATGTATTTTGGTTATAAGGGTGACATATTAAGGAGATATGTATACTGGATAAGAGTGACATATCAAGGAGATATGTATACTGGATAAGAGTGACATATCAAGGAGATATGTATACCAGGATAAATGTGGCAAATCATTGAGTTATAAAAATCTAGGTTTTTTTTATCAAAATATTCAATGTTATCGCATCCTTATGATGTGAGGACTCAGAGTTGTCGCATTTGTGTGATGCGATAAAAAGTAGTTATCACACCTATATGATGCGAGGAATGAGTTTACTGCACCTTTGTGATGCGACAAGATGGGTTTATCACACCCGTATTGAGTTGAGTTTTTCGCATCAATGTGTTGCGATGAGATGGGTTTGTCTCAACTACGTGATGCGAGAAATTTATATAATCTTCTATATGATGTAACAAGTTTTACTAATAATGTGTTTATCAAATTATTGGGTATTTGGATGAAATAAATGAGGTTTATTATATCAAAATGATGTATATTTGTTATAATTACATATATGATTTCATAAATATGATTTGGTTATTTTCACCATGTAATTGCATCAAAGTTTTTTATCACTAGACCTCAAGGTCTAACCCTCATTTTTGTGTTTAAAAAATGTGCATTACAAGTCGGGCACAACCAGAGGACAATGGGAAGGAGAAACTGTGAAGTATTATATTTATGCTTGTATAGGAGATTGGGCTAACATGTTATTCTTTTGTGTCAGAATACTTGTTATGTTATAAGCTTGTATAAAAATTTTATGAAAAAAGTTGTTAGCTACTTTGTAATGTAGCTTTTGCCAATTATGGGGACCAAATGTGTAAATTATATTTCTTGATATATGAAAGTATATGTTTATATGTAAAGGTGATATTGGGGTGTTACAAGTTTGGTATCAGAGCCTGAGTTTAAGAAATTTAGGTAACCAACATGATGCCTAGACTTCAACTGTATTATTTGCATATTAAGGGGTTGTTTGGCGATTGCTGAATGGTTTGGTGCATAATGGTTAAGTGGTCAGAATGGTTAAGAGGGCCAGAAAGGTTAAGTGTTGAATAAAATAATGTTGTTTGGTAACTGTTCTATGAATGACAACAAATTATCATTTTAACCCTCTGTATGATTTAGTACTGAATGAAATATAGCTGTTTGACAGATATCTGAATAAAACAATTATTTTACAAATATAATTGTAATGCCCCAACCCACACATTACATGTAACAATATTTCATACCAAAGAAATACATATTCATATATATATCTGGGTCCCTTAGTACAAGAATCTACCATCATGACCAAATACAAGGTCCAAAAATTCAAAATACATATCTTGTACTAAACAACAAAACTAATCATCAAAGGCAATTCTGCAGCCAAATGCATATAAGAAAAGCATTAAATTTTTTCCTTTCCTTTACCTCCTATACTTCCTGCAATAACATTTTAAAATCACAAAAACGAGGGTTAGACTAAAGAGTCTAGTGAGTTACCCTAATCATGTAATTGCAGGGTGAAGGATCACCAAAACCTTTATAAAACAACTATTCACATATATCACAAATATATGAATACGCAAGAAGGTAATATCAAATTCTTTTCCACTTTCAAACTAACCACGTAGCTATACAAATTCCATACCTTTGAACCAATCGGGTTCCATTTAATATCAATTCAAACCTTTTCTTATCAAATAAGATTTAAACAAAGATTCAGGCCAAACCTGACGTTTCCTTCTCAATAACATCCAGACTATGATTTYCAATAAGAACCTTGATCTTAAATCTTTAAATCACAAAGAAATGAAAGATTTCAGACCACGGTAGTCTTAAGGGATATAATAGAAAGTGTTATATAATATCACACACACAGACAATG